TCAGAATATAAGGCACTGAAATCTTTTTACAGCTTGTTAAATAGTGGCTTCGATGGCTTTTCGTCTCTTTCTCCATGTTGATAGCCACGAAAGGCTTGCGTCGGCCACGTCTTCAAAACCTTCTTCGATGAAGATTTTGAAGACGTGGACGACGTCAGCCAGTATTCGTCGAAAAAATACGGAATCTAAGCTATTAGAAGTGTAAAATGACATCTGTCATCACCTACGCCGACGGCAATGATAATTCCATACTGTGTTATTAGTAAACTGCACAGTACATGCATTATTACGAAACGGCATACTGCGTTCGGTTGATACACAATCTGTCGTTAATCTAACCTAAAACATCTGACATCGGCTCATTTCATGTTGGATGCAGTGCAGAGTAAACTCCATGCAACTGTGGCACTCACTTTGCAGTATGGGCACACTGAAGTGCTGTTTGAAAAAAATCCGTATAACGTCCTAAGCGTTATCCGTACAATTTCCTACCCGAAAATGCACAGGGGTCGCTGAAGAGCAAGGCTCCGAGCTTTTCCACAACTGCGGGATAAAAATATCCGTTCCTTAGAAAAGATGGCTTCCGATATTTGAAACTCTCTGTCAGTGAAGAAGGCATTGCCTTCTCATGCTTCCGCAGACATGCGATTCTGCCACCGCATGCCAACCAGAGCTGGTCCGATACGAATTTTTCGTCACCGCTACGATACCGCTCCGATATTTCAACTGTCCGATACGATTCCGATACCGCTACGATTTTGCACAGAATTTCCGATACGATAAATCCGATATTCCGATAAAAAAAGAAAATTTTTAAGTAAAAATTCGCACTGGCCGGCATTTACCGGCGCATACCGAGAAACCGAATTTACGATTTTTTAAAATTACCGGTAGTCTATTGGCTGAAATTGCGTTTCAACGATTTTTTTTGCGGTTTTTAGTAAGGCATCAGCCTAAAAATTTACGTTTTGTCTCACTTTTTCTTTGAAAATTGAGTCTAAAAGTGTCAAAATAACATTTTTTCGTGCTTATCGGGTGAAAATCCCGCTACGCTAAAGATTTTGTCGCTCCGCCCGATAAGCAGATTTTCCGATCCGCTACGATACGATACAGAATTTTTCCGATACCGCTTTTTCCGATGAAAACATCGGAATTATCGGAGTTATCGGACATATCGGTGGCCTCCGATGACTTATCGGACCAGCTCTGATGCCAACCTGTGCTTCGCGTCTGCTCCCTTCGCGATGCAGCGGTTGCCAAGCGGACGGTAGTTTGATAAATTATCTTGGCCTTCAAACGTTTTTGTGCGTGAATGGGTGTACTGATCCATCTTGGAAACTGTTGTTTTACCGTTGTTACTTTAGATGTAATAAAGAATGTAGTGTTAACCTGAATGTATCCCATGTCATTTGTCTCAGCTTAAAAGGAGGCGCAGCCTCGTAACGAAGGACAACAACCTAAACTAAACTGAACTGTGTTTTCCTGCGTGCTTTGTATAGCTTTGAAATAACTTTCATGTTTTCGTGTTGCCATTTAGCGATATTGTTGTTACACTCTGTTTCTTTCTCTACTGTCTGAAGCCTAGAGGGGGCAACCGCTCCGTTGCAAGGACAATAAACTTCACTTCACTTCACTTCACTTCACTAGCAGTCGCCACCGAATCTTTTAATGTGCGTTGATGGCGCGGCCGCAGCGGAATAACAGGAAGAAGGCGCCGTTGCGTAGCCCTTTAGGTTCGCTTATAACGCGCTGTGCTTGAAGTGATTGGGATAGGTCTGCGTGCATTTGACATTCTTCATCTGTGATATTTTTTACACTGAAATCCAAAATGCATATCCCAGCCCGATTTGCCGGCCTTCAATGGAATGGACCGAATGCCGACACGAGCGGCAAACGGCGTTCTCTGATTTAGATCCTCACGTACACAAATTTTGTGGACCTTCTTATTCAATACTGAATTTTAATAATAATCATTTAAACCTACGAAACTATTTTACTCCGTCAGCTCATAAAGCATCCTTTAAGTTTTGTTTATTTGCATGGTATTACACAGCTGACACGCTTTTTCGAAATAGTACAGGGTAAAAAATTTATTATTAATACGTAGTTTATTGAAGCATTATTGATATAATGAAGGTAAACACAGCGGTGCATTAACGCTATAACTGGTAAAATTCTTATAGCTCAACACGGCGTCCTTGCCGGTCTTGGCGCAGTCGAAAGGGATAAGCAGGTCTCCGAGGCGCTCCGGCGGACTACCCTCGTCGCCGTAGACGAAGATCTCCTTAGACGCTTTCGGCTGGATGAGCGTTGGTCGGCGTTGATATAATCTTCGCAGCCAGGCGAATTCGCAGCTGCAGTGCAGCGCCCGCACCCACGGCATTCGGTCTCCAGCAGTGTCCGCCATGTCAAAGATCATCTGCCCGCTGGGCGTCAGCGTCCCCGGGTCCGCCCACTGGAGGTAGTCCGCTTCCAGCGATAGCACAGCGAGATGCGGCAGCGGAGCGAAGAAATTCGGGTTGACGCCGGCGAACGTGTTGACGATGGCCAGTTTGAGGATGCGGAGTTGGGGGAGGTTCCGGAAGGTGGAGGCCTGCAGCCGGATGTCTGTGCAGCGCTGAACAGAGAGATACAATAGATTCGGTAAACGGAGGTTGTCCAGGAATCCCACCGGAAGTGGTGTGTAGTCGTGTAGTTCCAGGATGATCAGGTTTTGCCGGATGGGAGCGAGCGGGGCGAGGGGAGAGTTCCAGCGGACGTTCTCCAGCCGGAACTTAACCGGTTTGCTCAGGTTGAAGGAAGCAAAACGCTGGGTGAAGGTCTGCAGTGCCTCGGGCGTGGCGTTGTCGCAGTCAAAGTTGGCGATGCTGTCCGTGGGCTCGGTGTACTCGTTGGGGTAGCAATTGCGCACCAGGTTCCACAGCTGCTCGTGCTGGGCCTCCGTGAAGTTGTCCATGCGGAAGACCGGCAATGTCGACGACCAGGCTGGAGCGCCCAAGCTCAGGATAACAAATAAGTAAGCTATCCAACATCTGACCATTTTAAAGCGTTTCTCAAAACATAAATTTGTAAAAACGCGTCGACGGATTTATTAGGCAGCGGCGCATTAAACACCCTAATTCCGCACTCCTTTAACAGACTGCCTGTCTTTTATATGCACAGCCGTATATTGTGCTGCTTATGCCTTATCAGCATTTTTCTTGGCTGCTAAATGCAATGCTGTCAGTTAGTCAGAAATGCCGGCTAATCGCGATGAGCAAGGTGCGTACTGCGTACCAGACTTCTAATGTTGTATACAGTTTATTTGCACAGCCAAGTACCAGTCACTAAGTCGGCAGATTTTCCACAACATTGGCACTTATAGTACCGGAAGTACAACCAACAAAAGAAAGTCGGCTGAATATGCGTGCTGAAATTTACTTGCCAGTCTGATTAAGTGTCATGAAGAATAACTGCGGTTTCTATTGATACACAATGTACGCGAGACTGTTTAGGAATTGCGATAATAGTATAATGGAGAATCATTGTCGCTTATCGCTTGCCATTTTGCAGCCTACCATCATTCAGTACAACACTGTTCGTTCCCTTTTCAAAGAACTTGCTTGCCTGGTTAGCAAACGCTACCGATTATCCAGGCACCGGAGCATAAATTTGCCTGGAACGCTGACTTAATTACTAGCTTTCGCGATATTGTAGGAAAGGTCAAACTGCTAGGAGCTGCACAACGCACAACGGTCTCTTCAATCAACTCACTATATTGTACATCAATTGTGTCCGTAATTATTAATTGTCGTCAATCTGGTAAAGGTTTCTATATCCGTTTAAGTTTCCCAAAAGAAGCTTTATAGAGCAGTTAACTAGCACTGCGGCACATGCTGGCTGTAGCGCCGCTCCTTCTTATAATCCAGGACGGCGTCCTTCCCGGTTTTGGCGCAGTCGAAGGGGATGAAAAGGTCACCCGCCTGTTCCATGTAGCTGCCGGCGTCGTTGCCGTACACGAAGACCTCTTTATACGCTTTCGGCTGAATCAGCTGCGGCCGTTCCCGATACAACCGGCGCAGCCAAACATACTGGCAGCCGCAGTGCAGCGCTCGGACATACGGCATCCGGTCGCCGACGTCCATGGTGCGCGGGCGCAGGTCGAAGCGCATCTGGCCGTTCTCCGTCAGCGTGTCCGCATCCCAAAACTCCCGGTAATCCGCCTCCAGCGACAGGACCACCAAATCCGGGAGGCGCGCCACAAAATCGGATTCCAGGCCGACGACGCTGTTGGCGATGGCGATTTTGAGGATCCGTAATCGCGGGGTGTGCTGGAAGGCTCCGCGGGGCACGGAGACGTTGGTGCTCATCTGTACGGACAAGTACAGAAGGTTGGGCAGGCGGAGGTCGACGAAGAAGTTGACGGGAAGCGGGTCGTACTCTTGGAGGTCCAGGAGGACCACGTGGTGGCGAATAGGGAAGAGGGGGTCCCGCGGGGCGCTCCAGGAGACGTTCTCCAGCCGCAGTTTGACCGGTTTACTCAGGTTGAAGGCGGCGAAGCGCTGGCCGAACGCCTGGAGCGACGCTGGTGACGCTGGATAGACACACTCAAAGGAGCTCATGTTGTCGATGGGCGTGGCGTACTCGGTGTGGCTGCAGCTGGGCACGGCCTCCCACAGCTCTTCGAACTGCTCCTCGGTGTACATATCCATGCGGAAGACTGGCTGCGGCAACGCAGCGCAATAGCCCAGCAATACACAGGCTAATACGACTTGCATTAGAACCTTCATTTTCACCGGTAGTGTGAGCAACAGAAATTTCCACCGGCATAATTTAAAGTCCGACTAAACCGGCAGCGGCAAAGGAGAACGCAGCGCTGTGCGGTTGTTTACCGGTATTTTATAGCGGCGGTGAATCGTAGTGTCTTATCAGCAGTAATATCTTAATTGCATGTCTTGCTGTTTCTCAATAAGCCTTGAATAAACAGTATAAATCTTGTGGCTTTGTCGATTAACGGGAAGCATAATAGCGCTTTTTTTGATTGCGATCAAATCAAAGTGTACCTTTTCTCCCGTGCAACAAGTACACTTATCGCCCAAATAAATCGGGTTTCATTTAGGGCTATACATACAAATTCAATATCCAGAAAAACCTGCAGAAACAAACTGGTAACAAAATGGCAATAAAAAATTAATTTAATTCGCCAATATTTGTTGCTGATTTACGACAATTTTCACGGTCTCTCACGTAGCAAATTAGCGGGGCGACAGATGACAATTAAATTGTTAAATCATGGTGCACCGCTTTATGGGAAATTTGATGCTTAAATTGGTCGGCAGCAGTCGCAACGGTCGGGCAGATATTTGGTGTTGCAGTGGCCAGAAAGGAAGCCGCGCTTGATGCAGTGTCTGTGGCAGCTGTAGTTGGTGGAGAAGGTGCACGTCTTGCTGACCGGCGCGCAGTACATGGCGCCGCGGCCGTAGGGCGACGGTGGTGGGGGATAACCAGCGCCGTACGCGCCGTACTGCCGCTTCACTAACCGCGACATTGTTGGACTGCCGCCCACGGGGACATCTTCGGCCAGGCACACCACGGCGATCTACAATATTACCGGAACAAGAAATAAACTCAAGTTGTTCGTAATAATATTATAGGTACAATTAACAGCAAGTAAACTGATATTAACACTGACCGTTAAAATAATCAGGCATAGGATGCCGTATACATGTCGATCCATATTTGCGAATAAACCTTGAGCAAGAAAAATGACAGTAATAATTTTTCTGAAGCAAGCAAAATGGTGGAGAAAGTTGAGCGTAATTAGTTTAGGAAATCAAGTGGATTATGTTGTTATCGAAAATCTACTGCCTGTACAACACTGCGGAAGTTTTTATGATGGGAAATTCAAGCTGCTTTCACGGCAGTTCGCTAGGTTGGTCAGGGGAGGTATGACTGTCGGTTGATTCACCACTACATCGCTGCGTGGACATTGGCGCATTTGACAGCAGCGATGTTATCATTCTCGAGTGGAATCTCTCCAGTCCCGGCGAATTGTCAACTGGTGTACCTGGAAGTCTGATGGCATCGCTTACGCCGGCAATCGTGCAACCGCCGCTGACTAATAAATACTTGACGTTGAACGTACAGTGTGCATGCCATATTTTAAAGCATTACAACACAGCGCCTCATTTCCAAGCCGATCAGTCAAAGTGATTAATATTATACAGTGGCGGAACAAAATTGAATTCGCCGTAAAGCAAGCGTAACTGGTTTCCTACTTGGTGGTCGGGGAGCGCTCTGATTTCACCCGATGCTTCAACATAGAGAGAGTATATCGGTAGAAATTAGTACACATGCTCTGTATGCTGCAGCTCCTATCCGTCCCCGTCCCCCTATCAAGAACTCGATTACGCTTGCTTTACCGTAAATTCGATTTTGTTCCGCCACTGTTTAATATTAATCACTTTGGATCAGTTCTGTCGACAGAGCGTACGTGTTGTCGAACGATTAAAATTGTTGCCAGCCGGCGTGTTTGCAGTGTGTGTTGGCCTGTATTAAAAAGAGTTTTCCTATTAGGGCTGTATTACTTTTTCGGCAACTGGTCACTTTCGCTGTAAGCCGGTGATGATAGTTATGTAACGTAGCCATGCCACAGAGATGGGGATTCGGAGGGAATATGAAGACGACCTCTCGCGAAAGTGAACAAACAGGAAATACCGCAGTACTTCCTCTTCGCAATTTCGGGGGAGGTTTTAAACGTCTGCATGTTGTAGTTTCCGGGGAGGTTTTAAACGTCTGCTGCGGTTAACCGTGGCATAGTTGAATTGTTTAGAATTTCGGGTACTGGGACGTCGACTTGTGGGTGTGAAACGTTGTCACCGCTGTAATAAGATAGCGGTTGACTGTGATGAAGGGTTCAGTGTGATGAAGTTCAGAAGTACACTGCACAGCAACACCGGAAGTACCTATGTACTTCAAGCATTCAAGAAAAGCGCACTTGTTACGCGTGAATTCCCTATGTATTTTCCGCGACAATTCTTGGTACTCGTACAGTGATTAACAACGGCACGGGATCGGATACTGGTGAAGCGGCAATATTCTAACGGCTATCCCTAACTGCTGCTGCTGCAGTATGAAAATGCTGTATTCGTCTACGGGTACTCTTTTATCGATAAGCTATTAACAGAAATGGTGGAGCAGTAAGTACTGGATTGCGACGCGGCACAATTTAACGAGCCATACCATGACCGTCAACAACGCTTTAAACTTGAAACAACATCATACCTTTAACGAACAATACAGTACTACCAATTTTTAATAAAATCTTTGAATACCGATGCATTTAACCTGAGAATCAACCGATACAGGCGTACGAGCACAAAGCGGCACGGCTGCACTCGCAACAAACAGCTCTGATGCAGTGAAAATGCATAATGAGGTATCACGAAAACATCTACTTTAGCAGTTTCATTTGTAGTTTTCGTGCACCTTTTTACCGGTCACGTCAATCACGATCGTCAGGGCAGAAAAAGCTCGTTTCGCAGCAATATAAATCACTGTACCTGTTAAGGTATTAGGAAAAGTCTTTAAACTTCACTACAGTGAAACCTCTTTAATACATATACCTCGGTTAAGAAAACTGCGTACGTAATGTAAGGAGTGCGGAACTCTGTAAGGTGTACGTAAGGTATTTTTTTAAGTGTACAGTAATTTTGGTTAGTGTTTTGGTCTACTTAATACGGAGGGTGTACGTATCAGGGAGGTTTTACAATAAATGAAAAAGCCCAATAGATTTTCGTACTGATTCACCGTCGCAGCGCTGGCCGAAGGCCTGCACAGTGACGGTGTACGAAACTTGGCTGCATTTTGTTCTTCATTAATTATTTTCATCTTGCCTGAAGTACCATATTATGAGGCGCATTTGTACGACGTATTTGTGCTCGAAGACCGAAGTGACACGTACAGCTGATGATTATAAGGATTCGCTTGGGAAGTACAGTATGAGCGCAGGAGGCTTCGGCTTCGTTTACCGTCAATATTGACTGGATCGGACTGGTGGCAGACCAGAGAACCCTACGTCCCAAGGCTCAAGGCTGCGATTGCTTCAGCGACTCTCTGAACACGGTGGTGCTTGGCAACATCCCAGAGGTTATCGTCACTTCGTTATATGAAGCGCGGCTTATTGCCTTGCGGAATAAGAACGGACGGTGGACTGCGCTTAGTCGTGATGTGTGACGTGCACCGTCGCATCGCCGCACACGGTAAGCGTCACACAGTTCGAGTGGATGTACACCTTGGAACAGGGGGTGACTCGCCGTACAGCTTCTGGTCCAAAGTGGCGGTCTGGGCGCTGCCATGTGGCCGACGGGATATCCAGTGCAACGTCCGCCTGCCGGCGCACATCGGTCCCCGGCCGGCGCATCTGGTCTTCCTTTCGGCCCTCCATCACCGTCTGTCGCTGGATGCTAGTCGCGTCCAACACACGGGCAACGGCATCATGGCCAGCATATTTGAAAACTGGCTGGACGATGAGTCTTTCAGTATCTCTGTCGGCTTACGGCTGGACGGTAAAATCGTGAGGCCCATGCCCGCGTAAGACGTGAAAGGGATGTCACGGAAAGGGACCTTCATGGCTTGACTTGCACGAAGTGCATCTGCAGAAGAGAACGCCATAACGGGATAAACGATACTGTCATACGGTCGCAACGCCGGCACTGAATCTCATTCGGAGCCCGTTGGTTTTGACTGCGACGGCGGTAAGCGCCCGGACGGAGCGGCACGATCGAAATGGTTTCGCGGTATGCCGTTGGTTTGGAATGTCACGTGTCGGGATACTATGCATCTGCACTTGCCCACGTTTGTTCGTTGACATACTTCAGCGAGTCGGAAGCATCATCACTTACTCGGAACTCGTATTCGGAACTCGTATTCGTGCTGGCAGTGAAAACAATTATACAGTACTGGTTGCGAAATGGTAGCCGAAAAAGCAACAAGTATATAATCTATTTGAAAATAACATTAAACAGAGACTTACCTTCGTGAATTAACAAGGGTTCCTTTCGTGGTAGTTGTCGCCCACGTCTTATCATCCTTGCGGGAATGATGCTGCGCTCTGGGATTATCGTGATTAAATACCACAAGAAGAGAGAATAATAGTAGGTTATACTACTTTCTTTTCTTGTGGCATTTAACCCAGATTTTACAGGGTCCGGAGGTACTTGCAGCATTCACCAGAGATGCGACATCGGGAGCTAATAATGCTTCTTGGTGGAGGTAAATGGGCGCACGCTCAGCTGTGCCATTTCCTTACATTGACGTAGTGATTTGCCTCCAACTGCGTCTCTCCCACTTGTCCAATAAACACACTCCTCTAACGACGGCTGCAGTCAGCAGCAGCATCGCGGGGATTAGAAAGGTTCGAAAAAAAAACAATCCATAATAATGCATTATGGATTGTGACGAAACTTTATTTTTGCTTATTATTCAATATATAATAAATGAATACGATCTGGTAACTCAGAATTTTGGAAAGATCATGCAGTAATAAGTACGCAAACCATAGTACGACCGTTTTTTCATGGCCTTAAATAATCGGACGTAAGCAGCACGCTGAGCAATGGCACGCTGCATGTGTTAATACTGCAGTTGATTGGGCACGTTCACAAGTTCACGATACTCGGCGTTAATCGAACAACGGATAGCCTAATTATTGCACAATCTGGCACATTGCGCACAGTGTGCGACAATTAGGCCGTTGATGTATAGTTTGTTGTTATAAATAACAACCATGAAAATGGCGAAATCTGCTATCGTCGCATCAACGTTGAGGTCCGAGTCTCCGGGATCCTCCGGTAAACTTAGGCAGTCCAGATGTAAGTATATACGGTTAATTATATAAAATCAATTTTATTCGACAACAGCCAGTATACATATAATAATGCGCTTGCGCGGGTTACACTAATAATAAAAATTTCAAATTTTAAACATTGAAAAAACAGCCAAAATCATGAGCCAAAAACAGTCTTTCATGAGTTTAGAACGTGCGTTAAATGTACCCAGAGATGCAGCTGCATCATTTCCTCTTACTACCGCTACACTTAAACGTTGTCTCAAATTAAAAAGGCTGTAGATCGAGGATCCCCGGTAACATCACGGATCTTGATCTCGGATTATATAGAATGTATATTCCCTCTATATATATATATATTACTGTTCTGAGCACAGCTAGTTATTTTAAATTAAATCGCGTTCGAAGCGCTCAAAAAAATGCTTATATCAGTCTAATAAAGCTAAAATTTTACTACAGCTGAAAAAACGTAAAAACGTATGATGCGGTGCATTGCGGTCGATAGCCGTAGACTACAGCACAGTGTAAACGAACTCTCTTTCAATTCTTCTGCCACGCCCAATGTCCAAAGCAGATGACAATACAGTAGTTTTTTACGCTCAATGCTATGACAATGAACAAACGGTTCAATGAACAAAATAGACTACAGTAATCTGTAGTGATGTAGTTTGTTTAAGTAGTTTTCAGTCGCAATAACTAGAGTAGTTCGATAGATGGGTGAGTATTGAGTAACCGCACTGCCGCTTTTCTCCAGTGCACAAAGCTCGCTGGTGAGTGAGAAGCCGAACGAGTGCTATCGAACGAACAACTGAGCTACCACTACTGGATCTGCACATAGTTAGTGACCGAAGTACCACTTTTCTGGTGTGCAAAGGTCGGTAGGCAAGTGGGTGACCGACCGGCTGAACATAACCATTGCGCACCGCTCGCTAGGTGGGTAGTGGTACTGAGTACCTGACGTAACGAAACGAGTGGTGGTGACTGTGAGAAACTGAAGTACCACTACTGTACATAGTGAGTGACCAATTTCCATTACTGTCCAATGCGCAGAGGCGACTAAGAGTTTGAGTTACCAAATTACCGTTATTTTTTTCAGCGCAAAATTGTGATA